ATATTCAGTGTTATCTTAAGTTATTTAAACGAAAGTGTCTTAACCCCCCCCCATGGTTTCTGTTTAGTGTGTGTTGAATAAAATATAAACTTGCACATTTTTAAACTGAATTCACCCCCCCCTAAAAAAAAGAAACAAAGAGGAGCCTAAAGAATTCTCATTGATTTCGCTACAAATCTTAAATAAGTTATATAAATATGGCCAAATGAATGGAATTAAAATGTTTAATTAATAATCGAGTGTATGATTAAAATGCAGAATTAAAATGATTGATGCAGAGGATGTTATTGCGAACATGGAACAATCTTTTGTTTTGATGGGTCCTTCCGTGATATTTATATATTGACCGTCTAAAAATTAATTTTGGAATTGCTTAAAGCATGTAATCTCATTATAAAACATAATTTAATAATCTACAATTTTAAATGAAAAAAAAACTATAGCTCTTCTTTATATTGCGCTGCCGGCTACCTAAAATAGTTATTATAAAAAAGAAAAGTATATAATTATTTTAATGAGTCCAGCTAGTGTAATTTCACGGGCCCAACTAGTTATTAATTAATAATACAGACAAAGAACTGCATTTATTGTTTTTAAATCGCTTAGTATTGTTGCGTGCGTACGGGTTCGTTATGAAATGAATGCACAAGTCCGATGAAAAATGAACAAAATTTATTATTATCACAACAAAAATGCTTAAATTTCCTCAGTATTACAATATCTCACAGTAGTTATCTTTTAACTACTCAAACGTTCAAGAGAACTTAATTCAAAACAGCTAGAGAAAGCTAATCCGCGAATTCGCTAGTCGACAAGAGCAGTTTTCTAAATAAACTATTAAAACAACAACAAACTAACTAAAATAACAACGAACTGAGAGGGTTCCTCCTTTTGTAAGATTTTAAATCGCGCGCGAGAATTTTCTGGAACTTTCTCGAAATCAAAAAGAGAGATTTATTTAAGACACAATAACACACCGAATAAATACTAATTCAGAAGTCAAACAACAAAAATCAGCGTTATATTTACAAAATTTTCACAGGACTAGTTTCGATGGTTTTACCGAACCACCATCCTCAGCTGCAAAACCGCAAATGAACAAGATAGGAAAAGATGGAATTTTCCTATCTTCTCCTAGTCCTGTGAAAATTTTGTAAATATAACGCTGATTTTGTTTGACTTCTGAATTAGAGACTTATTTATTAAATGTTAAATGCACGTGGTCTTGTATTTTTAATTTTTCCTGCTTAGCTTTCCTTTAATATTCGTCACGCGCTGCACTGCACGGGGAATGAAACAATTTAATTTATAATTCAACTAACATTAGCTATTTAAATATCAAGTCCGTAACATCAAGTCCGTAACAGTATGTAATCAACAACAGACAGATTAAATTTGAAAGAAAAATTAATATATTTGCTTTGTCGCATGGCAACACACTGGCACGTGCTAGCTAAAAATACTTAATTTCGGGCAACACATTTCTTTTAAATCGCTTAGTTTGTTGATTAAACTTTGCCGAATGCCAACATACGCTTTTAAATAGTTGATTTTGTTAATCAAAATGCTGTTAAATTCGTTCAAAATGTGAAATGAATAAAAACCAAATTCGAAATTAGAATTTTGGGCTTCGAGGTGCACATGATCTGGTGGAGGCTTATGTGTTTTAAAATATGGTGGCTCAATTGCCGCAGTTTTACGAGACTGTTCATTATTTCATAACAAATATTTGCCTATAATTTTAAAGGGCTAGAGTCTTTTTTTAAAGAAGGCATAAAAGGCTAAAATTATGAAGTTGAGTATTTTATTCTAGTCTCCTGTTTCAAATTTTTGGAACCCTAGAATTTTGATAGAGGCTATACATTTTAAACATTATAAGAGTATTTGGAGGTCTTCTTGAAAACTAAGGCCTGAGGCACGTGCCCTGTTTGCCTCTGTGGAAATTTGCTCTTGATTATTTAATAGGCTATGAGATGTGCATGCAATCGAAGTAAATTCTTCTTTTGAAATTTTATGATGGTGTTGATGCGTCACTTTCAACGTCTCTCTTGCAAATTTATACCCGCGAATTGGATTCAGTAATGAATACAAGACTTGTTTTGGGCTTCTTAAACTTATGCAAATGTCATATAAATCAACCACCCAAGAAAAACCAAAGGAGGTAACTAAGTACCTTTGGGGCTGGTGATACATTTCATGCTTTCAGGGTGAAAAAGGTACTTTGACCTGTGTGTTTATTCTAGTAATGCTACTGCTGGCCTTTCTCCAAAGTAAATAATTGTAACTTGAGTTTTATTCTTCTATATGCCATTGAAAAAACAAGCAGGCACTTTTTTTTTTCTTTCACCTCAACATGTTGTGTATTTTTGTTTTCACTGTATTTGATTCAACAGTGTGATTCACTTTCACCTTTTTCCATCTTTTAGTTGGTTAATTTTTGTTTCTTTTTTCTTTTTCTTTTTGAGTCATCTTTTTACGGTTCTGCGCCGTTAAGTTTAAATTACTGTTTTCTCTGACACTATTTTTTGGTTTTTGTATATGGTATTTTAAACAAAGTTGCAAGTTTCGAGTAAAATTTGTTGAAGCTTTCTAAACGGAAGGATTCTTTTGTGTGTCATAAAATGTCATACATTTACCTTTTTTTTAATAATATTATTAATGGAATTCGTTCATTATTTCGTCATTAGTCACGCAGCTGGAAGAAATTCGGTATATAAACTAATATAGTGAATATTAAGCTAACGAAAAATGTAATTATAATATTGTTACCGATTTTGTATTTAGTTAGCTATTTTTTGGTAGAATTGTAATTAAAATTGTTTTATTCCCCCGTGTAATGCAGCGCGTGACGAGTTTTAAAAGAAAGCTATGCCCAAAAAGTAAAAATACAAGAGCACGCGCATTTAATAAATAGATATATTTAAATTGAAATAATGCAATTGTGTGTTAGCTGTAACTGTAATTCGACTCTTTTGCTTTCCAGAAACCTCGAGAAATTACGAGAAGCTTCTCGTGACGGATTAAAAAGCTTTAAAAAGCCGGAGGAAAACATCTCATTTCAGTTGTTTACTAAGTTTTTGTTGCTGATTGTAAGCGAATTCGCGGTGAGATCGGATTAACTTTCTCTGCACTTTGAATTGTGTTCTATTTAACATTTTAGTGAAATATAACTACTGTGTGATATTATACGCATATCTGTAAGAAAAAAAATTCAGCATTTTGTTTTATATCTTGCGATAAGAATAAATTTTATTAACTTTTCATCAGACTTGTGCATTCAATCTACTACGAAACCGTACGCACGCAACAATATTGTAGAGTATACATTTAGTTTCATTAACTATTTATTGTATATTATGTTTTTCTGTCTTTCTCGCTTTTCAATTTGTTAATTTATGAGGCTGGAAAGAATAGAGAGGTAGTATTTAAAGGACGGTTTTAGAAGGCAGAATCAGAGCGTGCTCCGCCTGCTGAAGACCACGTTTGCTGCCTGATTTTTTTTTTTTTTTTAAAGAGCAGTTTATCTGCGGCGATCATGCATTTTAGCGTACAGTGAACTTTATTATTATTAAATTTAAGAATGGTATTATCTGACTGTATTTAATTTGTTATTTAATTGTTATATATTGCCCATTTTGTGTTCAAAAAACTGTGATGAGATTATCACTATTTACACATTCATAATTTCTAAGGAAGCTACGTTTTTAGGTGTAGAATTTTAAAATTGTCGAATATATATGCCGTACGCAGTGTTCTTAAAGGTTGTTATCGATATCGTCAAGTAATACATTTATTGTGTGGGGAGGGGGGCAGGAGATAGATTACTAAACGCCGTATATACCCATTACAACCGTTTATAGTCAAACAGCACTTTTTTCCCAACCACTAGTTTTAGAAAGTCGTCTTATCGCTAAACGATCGTGTTGTGTTGAATCATAAAAAGGTTTGTAGCCCATCAAGAGATTTATGGCAAAATTAGTTGTCAGAATGGAGTAAAAATGGCCTTTAATATCCAGAAAAAAAAAAGTATTGGTCGTAAAAAATGCACTCATGATTAGATCTTTATCACTTACGTGCGCAGAAAACGTATTTGGTTTTACTTGAAGAAATGCAATTTTTGACCATTTCGGGATCTTATTTCGTTTATATATTACACTTAGTTAAGTTAGACGCTGAAGTTCTTAAAATTTGTCTGTTGTTCTCGATTTTGAAACTAGAAATTTTTGTAGGTAAGCCGAAATTTCGTTTCTTTAATAAAAAGTACTTTTGTTCTGTGATTAAGATTGTTAATTTATGAATAGTAATAATATTTAAATTATAAACCTGTAATGAAAACTGTTTCTTTTTTTAGCGTAATTTAGTTACATTTATTTTTATTCTTCATTATTTGTTGCATTGATTAAGCATTTGCAGTTAAAAGTTATATAGTTTATGTGTACAGTTTGTAGCGCCGATAGAACACTTGCAATAATACATTTTGCAAAATATACGGTAATGCTATTTACTTGATATGTTACTTAGTTATTTATGAAATTTGATTGCTTTTATAATTTGCACTTTTTGGATACTGCACTGTTATCTTAATGCTGCTAAAAGGGTATGTGTAATTTAGATCAGAGTTTCTTAAGCTGTGGGTCGCACGAATTAAACGAATGGGTTCTTGACGTGTTTTTTTTAATCACTTCCCTGGAGACACTCGGGATATGCTCTAATGAGAACATGAAGTTCTCTAATACAAATATGATATTTAATCAAAACTGAGGATTGTTAGAATGGGATGCAACAATGACAATTTGGTTTATTAATATCTCGCATGCCTTCCTAGATTATTTTAATTTAAATATCTTTTATTTAAATATCTTCAGATTATTTTAATTTAAATATCTTCCACTTAATGTTGCATATGCTAGTTCTGTCTCAGACTACCATAAACTATTTCTTAATAAATATAGAATTGTTCCCCACTTAATATTTACCATAAATATTTTCGTTTCTTACAGCTGGATGACTGCACCCTACAAATATACCGGTATAATGGATCCGAAGGGGATTATGGGAATTACTTAGATCTCGAGTCTACCATCGATGAACAAGCTGAAGACTTTGAAGATTTTCACCAAAAGTAAGTTTACCAATTGATTAAATTACGGAAAACTAAAGCATTATATAATTGATACGTTTTAAATAAGGTTTTACTTTTTTTTTTTTTTTTTTTTGCTGGAATTTCGTTACAGAATACAACGCAGTTTCATGAGTAATTCGTTTTTTATTTCTGAAGAAAAGTAGTAATATTGTGTATGACGTTTACTCAGCCTTCTGAAAGTAAACCGCAGGAATATATAACAATACATAAACAGTCATATTTTTCAAGGATGAGTGTGACTGAATTGCCGAAATGACTGTTTTCATTTCTTGTGAAAGACTTCGCCGAAAAAAACCATTCAGGCAGTTCTAAATTCACATAGACGAAAAGTGTTTTTCTTTTCATATCCGTTCGCAGAAACTTCCTTCAGGAATTCCTAACAAACGACTTTGTGGGAAACTTTTATTAACCCTTAAGAATGCTGAGTGACCCAAGCTTACGAAATAGCATTGTGATACTACATATAGATAAGATTTTACATTCACAAATGTGAAGCCATGGAACTCAATGTGAAGATAATATTTTATGTTTCTGACTCAGATGTTATGCGAGTCAGAATAGGTGCATTTTGCGTTTTGAATTGCGTCTGAAAGGTAAGGTATAAAAACAACTTAATTGTCGTGTAGTGGAAAATGTGTCAGATATTCTAAAGCGCTTCATTTTAAAATTATGAGGGGAGGGGCTTCAACTTTTGCATTTAATTTCACCTCCCCTAAAACAGAATAAATTTTAGTTTTAAATACTGTCTGCCACTGTGCAAACATGCAAGCAAGATATAAAATTCAACATCAGAAAATGCTTAAAATATTAACTAAAACTGCCGTTATCGATTTAATAAGAAATTAATTGTAATAAAAACAAATTTAGAAATACTGATGGTGTAGACCTTACATTATATACTGAAGAAGAAGCATTCCGATTGCTTAGAATGCTAAAATGTGGAATCCGTAATGACTAGGAAACTTGGCAGCCGACTGAGATTAAATATTTATTTTTATTTCAATTGACATTTGTGAGGCTCTAATCTTGCCTATTCAAGAACATTTACATTTTTGATACTTTTGCGATAACAAGAGAAGACAGCGATGTAGCGTCCAAGCGGCAACAGAGGTAGAAGCTAAAGTGCGCAGTTATTCAGTATGGCAGCTTACCAAGAGAAAGTTTTGGTTTAGATTAGAAAGTTCTGAATTAGCTACGTCATCAGCGTTACACAAGCCATGTGACACTAATTAATCTAGAAATGGCGCAGTCCAGAAATGTTAAAACTACTTTTAGAATACAGAGAGAAAATACTCACATTAAACGTGAGGAATTAAGTTTCCATCTGAGCGGTATAACTCGATAAGAACTTACTTGAATCTTAAGCGATAGAAATAAAATAGAACTATAACTTCATTAACAATCTTTGCACTTTTTATGCTGAGTTACGCACTTTCCTCAGCTTCTCCACCATTCTATCCGCCGCTTCTGTTTTTTTGCTTCATATATACAGTAAAATGTTAAAAGTACGAAAGTGCATTTTAAAGAATGAGCGTGAAAAATGCACGCTGAGATTTTAGGGTGTAATCGGCAGGGTTCAGATTGCAGGTAGTTTTTTATTACATTTCTTTTAACGTAGCATTTTTATTTGATCATCATCCGTATAAACTGCATATTGATTCGGAATTATTTTATTTTTTACAATTTTAAATAGGTTTATTTACATACAGATGCTCTTCTTAGAAATGTTTTAGGTTCATGAGATTTTACTACGAGCTGTAATATTCGGAAGTCCATTAGTCCCTAAATAATATGAAAAATATTGCACTAAATTTGTGTTATATTACTGTGTACGTCACTTATGTTGGCAGTATATTTTGCTACCTTTAAACAATTGAATAATACATGAATAGCATAATAACAGTAATTTTGATTATTATTATTACGTTGCTGATTGTTACATTAACTGAAAAATAGCGATATGAATGGGAAACAATTAGCAGGGTCTGAGCAACAGGAAGGAGGAATATTCATATAACCTCCAGTTAGATTAATATGGCATTGTATCTTGTTGTTGCTTGTTTTGTCACGCCTGAGTTCTTTTGCAATATCTATCAACAGATGCCTGCATATCTTATCTTCACAGATCTTCCTGTAAGTGCAGATCTTCCTTCCAAAATTTCGAGACTCTAAATTTTGGGGGTTCGAATCTTAAACTCCTGAAGAGTGTAGGCGTGGAAAGAAGAAATAAATACGCAACCCATCTGAAAAATATTGGGGTTAGTTTTTTTAAAACAAATTCTAGAATACCTAATGGTAATTGGCAGAATTTATTATTGTGGCATCTCAAAGTGCTTTTCCTAAAACGTTGTATACTTATGGCCAGAATTTTCAATAGAGGAAATCGTTTGCTTTGATTCAGTAAGCATCTGTTGCCATATATTTTGAAAATTGAGCAAATGATTTTATTCAAATAGCTCCATTTCTCGTGTACTATAAAATATACCACAAGGCTTACTCAAAGAAAAAAATAAAAGAGTACAATAACACTTGTGAGGGGGGAACGGAAAAGAAATGAAATAGAAATTAATAAAGTCAATCATCTAAATTTAGAATAAAGTTACGAAAAGTGGATATTGACTCTTTAGTTGACAGAAAACATTTGTGACCAAGATGCAGACAGGTCCTTTAAAGTGGCCTGAACTATCTTCTGTTATATATCCATGGTTAAATCATTCGAGAAGACTGTTATTAACATATTCATCGACGCTTAACGCAATTGAAAACCAAATCGCTATAAATAACTCTTTGAAACTGAACTGCAGATATTACTACCGATTTTCTTTTCCATCCTCACAGATTGGGATTGCAGATGAAACTTGATAATTTGCTTACCATCTTCAGGTAAAACGGCAGTCATTTGCTTCGGTTGAAAAAACGTTCACCTCGCCATAGAAACTGTTAATCTAAGAAACTACAGTTTGAAACTATTAATTTAATAGTGTAAAATCAGTGTTAGTGACCTGCTTCGATTTTCTTCGACTTCCAATTTCATATGCGAACTTAGACCTAAAACTTGCAACTTCTATATATTTTCATAACCATTAAAATAGTGCTTAATTTGGTTTTAAGGATGCACAGTCTAAACTTTGGATGCCATTAAATTTATTTGATCTGAGAAGTAATTCCTGTTAGTTATGCATATAAATTTATTTGCACTAGCTTTGCCCAGTCTCTTTATTATGTTGGAATCAAAGAGATAAGTTCAGTTAGAACCTTGAAAAATTTATATTATCACACAAATATTATATTGACATTCACAACATTTTGCTGAGTTTATTGGTTCTGAATTTAGATACACTTTATTATCCTTGTTTTTCTTTTATTGATGATGATGATACTAATGTTACAGACGTCTTTATTTTAACGAATATTACATGCTTATGAAATTTTTACGTTCATTTTATAAAGTATGAAATTTTATGTAAACAGTTTGTAAGGAATTTTCTCTTTCCTAACCTCATGCTTTTATGATATAAGTGGAAGCACGTCCGACTAGCAGTCGGGAGGACCAGAGTTCGAATCCCAGCGAGGGCATTACTAACTTATCATGTTTCTTATTGAAAAAATTTGAAAAGTTACTCAAAGGAAAACGTTTTCCCTTGCAATTAGGAGGAGACCGGGAGACTCTTCAGGAAATTGTTTTACAGTCGTAATGATTTAGCAAAGAATATCAGTCATTTGAATTGAACGATTCTTACTATAATCAAATGCCGAAAAGATCGAAGTTTCTGATACCAAACTGGTGGAAATTGAAGTAAAGTTTTATATTTAGGAATGTTAAGAATAACATGTAGATTTTTAAAACTTCACGCCTTCGTTTTAAATCAATTATTTCTAACAGCGCCGCCTTTTTTATGTGGCATCTACAAGAAACTTATTTACAATTATCTTCTAAAGCAGTTGCGTTAACTGCGCATAGATCTTTATCTTCTTATCACAGGAATGCGGAGAATTTTATTGCGATTCAGAATTTATGCAGAAGCCTTTGAATGTGATTTTACATAGAAATGGCGCCTGGAATCGTCTCTTGCGGTTCCGCCTTTCCTGTAAACAAACTCGTACATATAAACCTACAGAAACCCCATTAAGATGGTTCCTTGGAGACCTTTCCCCAATTAGCCTCGCCCTTGTGTTAACCCCCAGATAATAATTAACCCTGTACCTAATAAATAACTCTGAAAGAGAAGACATTTGTATTCTAATTCGTAGACGACGTATCCTGTTCTTTGGATAAGTGACGTCACTTTTCGTCATTTATTGCCACAACGCGGCAATAAAATTTGCAAATGGATGAATATACGTGACGTCATTTGGTTACCAGTGGAGGATGTTAGAGTAAGGGAAAAGGAAGGAAGCAATTTGCTCATGTTTTTACGCCCAGTGTCACGATTTTTATGATATATCCTCGTTCAGATTGATTGCCTTCTCGGTGTTTTGATACTTTGAGTATTGACTTTTTGTTGATTTTCTTTGGGAAATCAGGTAGTATTTTGCTAACGTAACAGAAGGAATTTTGTTTGAATCGTACAGAAATGCCGTCAAATATTATAACTTATGCACGTCATTTAAATTTCAATGTTATTCTTAGGCTTTTCATTAAGAATGAGTTATTCGCCTCGAATATCGTATTAGTTAATTTGAAATTAAACTGTTATCTGGACATCTAGTTATCAAACTGTTATCTAGTTATCTTGAAATAAACAATCAAATCTTATTCGTTATCTTGAAATCAAATCGACTGGGGATTAGGGGACCCAATCGGTGGTGAAGAATCATCGTCCACCACCTTTTAATTCGGGAGCCACTGTAGAGAGATTATTATTATTATTATTATTATTATTTAAAGCTGGAAAGAGGTGAAAAATGAGCAATGCCCTCGCCGGAGCTCGAACCTGGACTTCTCGATACACGCGGAGTGTGCTAACCGTTACAATCCG